GGGGTTTCAGGTTTAATCATCCCCCAGTCATCACCATTTTTATAGCATAAACCACAAGTAAACGGGTAGTTTATACATATACCATACCATAAAGCGAAATCAACTAGTTCACCTGAACCTAGTGCACCTTAATTCACCCGAGTCAACCAACTGACCTATCATCTGACTGGGATGATGTTTATGGAGGCGTTTTTGGCTGGACGAAATCCTAGAAAACTATAGAAACATAATCTATAAATGGAGGGTGTTAATGGAAACATATAGAAATATCATCTATAAATGGATTTAATGATTTTAATGTGAAAATCATAGGAACATCTACATGGATTATTGTTTGGAGTCGTGCTCGTCCAAAATGCCAACTTCATTATAGACTCTATATACAGATTCACGTAAATTCACATGCAATGGAATACAAAATCATAGACATCCTGAGTTGAACACAATTAATCTGTACACAGTGATAATTACTCCCTAGATTCTTTGACGTGTAGAATTCGCTCTTGATTATCCTTGGATGTAAAGGTTTTACTATTTAGAACTCCTTACCGGAAAAAAAAGATAATTAGTTGATAATATCAAATATAATTACAATTAGATAACTCATCTACAACTAGATTATAGATCATTATAGTAATTTTATAGTCAATATACATCAACTATTCCTAGTAAACTCAGTAAAAACAAAGTCACGAAATCACCCCAGCCTCCTGCGGCCTGGCACTCACGGTGAAAGTACGAACAAAAAGTAGTAGGTTTGTAGGAAAATATGGGAGAATGACGGGTTATGTATGGGAAAAATGTGGAGAATTCAAGGGGAAACTGGTGAATGATGGTTTTTGGGGATACAATTTGGAGATGGAATGGGATATAATGAGGAAACACATGCTTGGAATCATTGGAATCTGTCACCAGTTTTGATGTTCGGCATGACAGTCAAGCGAACATATGCAAAGAAATAGCATGAACAGGGGGTCATGATCTAACAAGAAAGTTTGATGATGTAGGTTTGTCCAAACAATATAACGATGGAATGAGGCACCCATTTTTCCGACCTTTCAGACCAGCTGCACTGAATTGATGGTGCCCCAATATTTGATGGTCAATCATCATCTCCGTTCATTCATGTTCCATGTACATATGTATATAATAATAATAATAATAATAATAAATCATATATCTATATGTATAATGTATATTGCCGTATATATGTATAATATGATATACTATTATTGTATACATTGTATAATATATAATAATATCATATCACATCATATCACAACATATCACATCATATCATATGACATCATATATGTAGATATATATATATATATACAATACTATATATCTTATAATCTTATAAATATTTGCATCAGCTCCCCAGACTGCCTTGCTGAAATTTCTCAAGGCCTGCCACGACAGCATGCTGGGGCGGAAAAGAACTTGGAAAGATGGCGATCGATGTTTTTCAATGTGATTGCCAACTACTCAATTTGCCATAGATTCTATATGTTTTCCAATGATTTACTTGTTATCATCAATTGATGTCATCAATTGGAAAGATGGCGATCTTTGTCATATATATATATTATATGTATATATACGTATATATAACGTGGTATTTTTTGGTTTCTCCGGGTTGGCGTTTTTTTTCATGGCTGAAAGCTGCTGAAACCGGTGATTTAATGGGCATCGGATCCAGGCCCCGGCACCCGTCTCTGCTGCTCGTCCATGGTGCTGAACTCGGGTTTAGGGAGCACCTAGCGATCGACAGGGACCATTGGGAGAGATGTTAGTGGAACATACTGATGATATAAAGATATAGAAAGGGAACAACATGATATATATATATATATATACATATATTTGTACATAGATGTGGATTTGTAGCGAACAAACATCAACCACATTTAACAGCGTCACTTGGGATGTTTTTTTCTTGCTAAAAACCGGGATCATCAAACGTGGCTGGGAAATCCCCAAGGAAATGACGGTTTTTCAGTGGGGAGATTCCTAGCAATGGAATTATACCATTGCTAATGCTTCCAGCATATCTTGATGGTTTATCATGGTAAATTTTAGTGCCATGTTATCCCATTTATTGCCATTTATAGTGAGCAAATCATAGCTATTTAATTTATGAACTTAGACCATCTTGCGGATCATGATCATGCCCCCTTGAGAACCATCATGGCACACTCTGGCGATCTAAGCTGTCCAAGTATTCTGCCAACTTGGGGAGCGACGGGTTATAAATCAATGAGAGGATCATCGGCTTCCCCAAATGGCATAGTTTTTTTGGCACATCCTGGTGATTTATTTATCATAAAAAAATACCACTGAAAAGGAATTGCAATTAATTTGAGTTCAATTGCAATTAATTTGGGTCCGGTTTTTTGAATGTGCCTTGGGCCATGTAGATCATATATATATTGATATATGTGATGTTGATTTTCACGTGCAGATATAGTTGGCATTTGCAGTGTGATACACACATATTGTATATGTAATTAAATAATTATATATATATATATTTGTCTTGGGCCTCAGTGTCAGTGTTAGACATCCAAAAACAACTTGTCTCATATAGACTATATACATATTTATTGGTATAACATATATTTATATAATACATGCATACAGAAATGTATGCGATTCTCTTGGCGGCCTTTCTGCGTCAGATTTGTTTGCCTTACTAAGGTAAAGTGCATGCAACCAAATTTGCAGTTGTTTATTTTTGGATACTTAGAGGATTGAAATGACCAACTTTCAAGTTCCAATAGCTTGAAGATAGAATATTCTTAGAACATAATTCAACATAAGTTGTAAGATTTTGAATCATGCGCTTAACGTACATTCGGCCATGTATAGGGGCTTAAAAGCACATCGAAGCTCGCTACGCTGAAAATTCAAGATTCCACGACAGCTTGATTGAAATATTGAATCCCCTACGTAGCATAATATCAGGCCGCTCATGGATGTTAAGGTGCTCTGTTTTCTTAATTAATGCAAGATTTCTGCCAATTTTTCTGGTAATATTCTATCCCTTGTACAATCAACATTCTTCAAGAGCTGTCAAGCACTTTAAGTTAATTGGATTCAAAATTTGTCCTGGCAATATCCGATCTTTGATCCACTGAAACTCAAGAGTAAATTAAAAGCCTGGACAGTCCCCAGAAAGTTTAAAGTAAGGGATTGAGTGAAGATTGTCCGATGTTTCTTTTGGAAATGTTCAATGTTGAAACCACTGGAACTACATAGTGTAAGATCGGGACCACCTTTAGAACAAATCATAAGTACAGGATTGACATTGAAGATTGGTCCAAAACCTTTCCAGGTTCCTGGAACAACCTAAGCATAGGTACAGGGCACTATACACAACATTCAGTTGTATAGATATTGCACTATGCAACAATCACATTGTCTTTATTCTTGCCCTTATATGTGATTGGAATGAACCACATATAAATATGCATTTAGGAATGCTCTTTTCCTTGATGGTTAGCACCTCCCCTCCAAGGAATATAGCACATTTGAAAGAAAGCCTCCGAGTCCAACACCTTAAGGGAATTGACAGTATCTGAACGGAACTGTGCCTTGCCTGCAATGCTGCCCCTGGTAAGTCAAAATTATATATTATGACACTACATGTGTATATATATATATATATACATATGTAATTATGTATATATATATATATCAATATCTCTCTCTCTCTCTTTCTCTTTCTGTCTTATATGTGTGTATGTGCACTGCACTAAAGGAATGCTGCGCAGATTATGGAGCTATACGTTCTGAACAGGATACAGATACCCCTTTGGAGAAACGCTGCGTTGTACACATAGGCTCTCAATCTTGAGGCTGCTCCTTTGCAGTGGATATTGAATTTTTGAAAAGAGCGCAAAATTTCAACAGAATAATATCTTGCAAAAGACACACCATATTTGCTCAAATGCATAGCATTATGTGAACGCATAACTACTGAAATACTGCATATTTTGATGCATTGATCTGGAGAAACAATGTGTTTTCTGAAGGCACCCAACTTCTCAAAAAGACTGCTGTATGGGACTACAGCGTGCCACTTGTTGGCGGTACTTTCTGATGTAAGCACTACATATTCTTGAAGGATACGGCACTTCTTGAGCAAGTACTATTTTTTGATAAAGGGGCGTGCAATGAATACTGCACTTGCTCATGGACATGCACTTTATGCGAACGCGACCCCTTCTCAAGCAAGTGGTAGCTTTGGCTGCGATGTTTTTTGTTGGTGCAAAATTTGTTTCACTCCTGACTGCATTTTTGGCAACAAATATTGCAATTTGGAAGGGCACACCTCACCTTTATACAGACTTGCTCCATAACTTTGGTCTTGGGGGCCTAGCCGTGTAGTGGCTAGCCGTATACGTGTCCATACGAGCCCATGCCGTGAAATCAAAAACAAGTGAAACTCTGGATGGAAGCGCATGCAATGAAATTCTTTATCATCAAATGACGGAAGGGTCTGCAAATTGCCTAACATGATCAGTCGTATCACAGGCCTGCACAGAAGAATTCTGTGAGGTGTGTGCAGCGCAGTCAGTAGGCATCCCATTATGTAGCTTGTCTAGTTGGGTTGGATCGACCAAAAATCAGGGTCTACAAAAGCAATATTGGAGGAATATGGGGCAATCATGGTCCTCAAGATTGTTATCAATGTTCGGTGGGCTTAGTGACCACAAACACCCTTCAGAAATCTTACCAATTGAAGTCCTGAAAATTGATTGGAAAATTGTTGCTATTAATTAGGGTCCAATTATCTACCAAAGTCGATCGACTTTGGTAGAAAAGTGGGAAAATCCAGACCCAAATTAATAGCAACAATTTTGGTCTGAAAAAAATGGTTTTGTAGAAGTCAGGTTGCAAAAATGTGAACCTGACTTCTACCAAAGTCGTTTGACTTTGGTAGATGTTCCTTATCTCAGCAAAATATGGTAGATCTTGCTATCACATTTTGAAGGGTCAAGATCTACCATATTTGGTTTTGCAATGGAAGATCGACTTTGGTAGAAGTCAGGTTCACATTTTTGCAACCCAAGATCTACCATATCGATGTTTCTGAATTGCTATATATTTGGGTTTATTGCAATTTAATTTATTGCAATTTCGCTGGAATCTCCAATGCTTAAAGTATCAACCCCCACCAAACGATGGACAGATTCCACCCGTTAATGAGCATGAAATAAACACTAGTCAGTGCATGCGATACCCATGAGATTGCAGTACTTGATGAGCTGGAAACTCATCAACTAAGTCGGACCGTACCTGTTGCATTATGTACTAGTTGTGTTTTAATGAGTCTATCACGCTCCAATATTTTGGTATTTCAACGATTATGCCCCAACCAGTCCCAGTGCAATACTTGCCTGTGGGTTTCTCAGGGCAAAAAGTGCAAACCCAATAGCCAATGAAACAAAGAGGCGTGGCCCTTATTTTCACACAAACAGTGTTGCAGCCATTATCTTGTAAAGCCTCTTTCCTCAACTTCTTTGCCAAGAAGTTTCCTGAAAAAACATGCCTACATGTAGTCAATAATACTCTTTCAAAGAAGTAATCCAGAACTCTCTCAAGGGTAGAATTGCATAAAGTGCTACTACATTGTTTATTAACGGAATATTGTGTTTTTTCAACAATCCATGGAACAACCGCATATATATATATAATTATATGAGGTATGATATGATATGCATATATGTACATCATATACATGTATGTGTATATATTTATAATTACATACACACATATATATATATATATATGTTACGGGAGAGATTTTAGTAAAGGGATGGCGCTTGCTTTCGGAGGAATGCTTATCGTTTCGGAAGAATGCCGCACATTTTGAGGACTCCCGGAACTTAAAACAATATAGGTTGCATCATGTTCAAGGAAATTCCGCGTTCTTCACACAGAAATGCTGCGCTCTTCTAGACATTTTTTTGCACACAGCGACGCGACACTCTCTTACAAGCAAGCGGCACGCTTTTACCAATGCGCATGATATGTTGAAAGATTATATCTATGGAATATGCTGCATCTTCTCAAGGGAAGAAACTGGACTGTCTTGAAACAGTATGTACTGCATATGGCAACAGACTTTTCTGAAAGGACAGCTGTATGTCAAAGGACCGAACTTGAAAGGTAACACTGTGCTTTTTATCTGTGTGGATACTGTATATCTTGAAAGACTCATTGAAAGCTAGGCTTTACTGCACTCTTGTCACAGAGCTGCTGCCCTCTCCGAAAGTGATGCTGCACTTTCCTAGGGAAAGTGTGTTCTTTGAAAATGGTTGGCTTTTTTTCAAACTGAGTGCCTAAATCGTGTATGAAGTGAAAATTGCTTTGCTCAAAGAACACTACACTCCCGTGCAAGAGTTATTGCATAAACAAATAAATAGCATGAAGTAGCCTAGTGCAGAATCCTCAAATCCGTGGCAGCATCGGCTCAATACTTCTTTGAAAGTACAAAGCAGGGAAAACAGCTCACCACAGTCCTCAACACCCTGAACAAAATTGGTGCAAAATGAAACCTCAGGTCATGTCCGAAAATTTTCGGCACCACGCAAACATATATATAATATATATATATATATGATTGCGTCTGCGTATATAAATATATTTATATATATATATATATGAAATATGAGACATATAAATAAATAAATAAATATATATACACATACGTCCTTTAAGCAAAATGCAGATATGGGTTTGTTGCCACTTTGCTGCCACGTGGTTCAATGTGTGTCTGTGTGTGTCTTCCTGCAATTGGCTGAAACTAGAGACCACGGCCCAACTCACTCATGCTGGCAAAGTATTTGGCACGTTTTGAGGAAACAGGTATATGCATCTTTTTTGTCAGGCAATTTTGCTTTCCTGGACAAGAAAAAAAACCTCCTTCAGTGACTTAACAAACACTGGAACACAACATGCAGCGAATATGTCCATGCGGGGTGTGTCACGCATGCAAAAAACACCACCGGGTTATCAAAGGCAAGTAATCACACGATTAAATCACACACAAATCCAGTGAAATTGGGCGTCTTGCGCGTCTTGTGACAATTCAAAAATTACCCCACGATCCAAAACCACTGGGAGCCCAAACGCACAGTAAAGAAAAGCAAAAAGACAAAACTTTGGGCCACATGTGACTATCTTCCCTCGCTGATTGTGTTTTGTTTGTGGTTTTTGTGGGGGTTTGCTGGTGGCCCGCCGCTTCCGGATCCGAAAGGATTCCTGCAATATACCAGTCCTATTTAATGAAGCTGAGTCCCTGCATGTGATATATGCCTGAAAATAAATCTACTAATTACTGATTATTCATTAGGCGCACTTAAAAGTCACTTCATTTGTGTCTGCGGAGATTCTATGAATTTAATTTGACAAAGAACAACAAGATTCAGAAACGCGTAGGGCTCACAGCATCCCTTCTGTCAAACACATGGACCGCTGACGGGCTTCTCCAATACCTCTGAACATGTGGTGTACATATGGATGAAAATCCAAGAATTACATGGAATCAAAACCCCAAGGGACATACAAAAAACCAAACCCAAATTAATTGCAATTCCTTTGAACCCTGATTACATCTCCATCATGATCATCAGAGATCATCAAATCGCAATTTCAGGGTACTAAACATTACTGGTTGGTGGCGCAATAACCATCTTGAAAAATATGAAAGTCAGATTGGGAAGGATTATCCCATATAGTATGGAAAATGAAAAATGTTTGAAACCACCAACCAGATTACAAAGCCGCAATCAACCACCACTCATGAAATTCTGACCTGGTCCTAGCCGCCCTTCCCCTGCGCTAGTGCGCGCAAAGCCAGGCACCCGCAAGAGCTTCAGGACACCCAAAACGAAGTCAGGCAGAGTCAGGAAGTTGAGATTCATGATCTGGGCATGGATATTCTGAACCTTAAACATCCATTGATGATAGTATCCATAGATTTTCCACGGTTAAAATCAGCAAGTTGAGTGGGGATGAAGTCCGTATTGAGATTAGTCCGTCCTAACATTTTAAACATACATTTCAGTGTTTTCAGTGGGGATGTTACAATCACATGTAGACAAAAATAACTCATGATTCAAAGGGATTTGTGGTATATATAATATATATATATATGGAGGGCTTAATTTCCTACAATGTGAGGCCCCCCAGTTATAAGTTGGTTTATAAGCCCCAGTAACTATAGTTATAAGTACCATAAACCATAGTTATTGGAGTTATAAACCAACTTAGCTATCTTGGGGGCCTCACATTGTAAGTAACTATTACGAAGAATCACAAAGTGCTAAGCCAGCGACTTCCAAACTTCGGAAGTTTGGTTCCAGAAAACCTTCCAATTTCAATAGACACTGACCATCATTCTTTTACCTCTATGGATTATATGTATATATATATGTACAATTATATAAATGAATAAAAAAACAAATATATATATATATATATATATGATAATATATGTATTTCATCGGACGCAGCATTGCACCGGTGGATCTACCACTCTGCGAAACCAAGGGACATCGAAGCCACGGAAGATCGCCTCAGGCGTTGGTTGGCCATTTTTTCAAGGGATGCTGAACGTTTACGATGGAAGGAGTACCAACGAGGAAAAGATGGAACATGACATGCACAAGAATGTTGTGATTCTGATAGTGTTTCCATGTCTTTTTTGAAGGTCTATTTTTATGTGAGGAATAGAAAAACTGTGAATTGTGTGAAGAAACTTACCATAGGTCCTGAATAAATTCGAAAAATGGAACATGATGGAACACGATTCTCCTGCCCTCGGCAATGGTGTTTTTTTCCATCGTCAGGCTGGATTACCATTTTTTGGAAAACACATACATGTGTATGATAGATGTGTTTTCCCAAATTGATATTATATGTCTTATATGTTGAAATATCTTAACATATGTTAATAATTGTTAATATACATCATGATGGCAGCAGTGTGTACATCAGCCACAAAAAACTCGCCCATCCATTAGGCACGGCACGTCGGTCGTGTGAAAGTTTGTCCCTGGCAGTTGTGGGGGGGCCTGGGGAGTTCGTTCTGGTGGCTACCCAGTTTTGACCACCATTTCGCCATGGCTCAAAAAATGGAATACAGAATCCTTACCCAGCAAAACCATAGTTACTTCAGTAATTTCCAAAATCCAAATTTACTATATTTGAAGGCTTCCCAAAATAGTGATACCCCAAATCGTCCAAGTCATCAATGACCACAATATAGTATTGAACCCCATGGTGACTTGGGGATCCTTCATTTTAGGACCCCCCCCATACTACTGCCATATTTGAAATGGAGAAGATTATCTTTCCTTTTCGATGAGGTCAGCAAGGTCGCAAACTCTGCTGACACCTTTGCTGCTTGGGCACCTTTAGTGGTGCTCCCCAGCCGCCATGTCTGTGGCTTAGCGACCCAAACAAACAAAGTGATCATTGATCATCACCAAAAACCCAGTGAACAGTGCCAGCTATAAACATCTAGAAACCAACTTGGCTACAAATTGACGTTTCACCCATCCCCATGACATCTGGCGAAATCCCCATGACTCTCTTGGTGAAGTTCCCATGATTTTTGCGTAGCGCAACTCCCCAGACTCCCCAGCAGTTGCGGCCAAAACCTCCATATTTGTCATGCTGAAACCATCATTTTTTCGATGGCAGTAACTGGCTAAACCTCGAGTTTTGATGATTTCTGTACTATGAAACCACCCTCTGGTCAACGTTTACATAGCCAAAATCACCATTTTATAGCTGGCGAAATCAACTATTTTCATGGCCATTTTCAATAGCTTTTTGTATGTTTACCAGAGGGTAATCATTATCTAAACCTCCATTTTGATGATTTGTGCATACTATAAACCTCTATGTGTCCCAATCTTCATCATCTTTTCATGGTTAAATCTCTATGTTTACTGGCTAAACCTCTATTTTGATGGGTTTTCCATGGTTAAACCATCCGTTTTTTCATGGTTCAACTGGTTAACCCCTCCATTTTTAACGCTTCAAAAGCCGCAAAAAATGCCCGGATTCTGCCCGGACCTGTCCCCAGCAGCTTCGCGAAGCTGGGATGGCTGCGCTGCATCTCGCGGAAATCCTCCAACCTCGGAGAGTGGATCTATATAATACATCTATATGGCTATATATATGTTTATATAATAATATATAATATGCATTAATATACATAAGTATCAATTAACATTCATAAACCATTGTTTTCATTGTTATAAGTATCAGACATCATGTACATATATACATATATATATATTATTATTATTAATTATTATTATTATTATATATATATCCATAAACTATATATCCATAAACCGAGTTATCTAACAGGTAAACGAATGTTTGAGGCTAAGATTATTGTTACTATTATAATTATTATATTTTGGTTTATGAATGTTTATGGATCTATAGCTTATGGATCTATATATGATACTTTATATATACATTAATATATGTATATGTATATGATTTATGATACTTATAACCCTCAAACATATGGTTTATGAATGTTAATTAATACTTATAATCATCAGAAACACTATCAATACCTCTTTTAACAGCTACAAAATCACAGAGACTCTCTGCACAGTCCAGCTCCGGTTCCGTCGCACTGCTGTGAATTGCCAACTCGCCCAACCGGGGGAATTGGATAATCCTGATTCTTTGATGAGAATAATCAGAATGCGATGAAAATCGGATGCTGTAATCATATATATATATGGGTATGGGTCAAAATTAGGTACCCCAAAATTATGGATGGTTAATACTAAACTAGACTAACATCTGTGGTCCCCTAGGTTTTCCATTTTGACCCACATCCATATGACATCATAATCTTAGGATAATCACATGTTTATATGTTTTTATAGGTAGATAGGTAGATATAGCATATTATAATGTTAGTTTTACCCAGGCTATCCCCACCAGCCAAGATCGGGGCGAGATGAAGCGATCGGGGCTGTCCGTCACCATCTCCTGGGATGTAATACAACAATGAGAATATCATAGGAATATCAACCATATCTTAGGTAGATAGGTAACCATTGGTAGATATGATAGGTATACATACATTTAATATGTATATATATATATATGTATGTATATATAAAGTACTTCCCAACAACAGTAAATCCTACTAAAATTAAAATGATTTACTTGTCTCTTATCTTATATATATATATATATTCATCCTGGAGTAAATAGAATATGTTATGTTCACATATATTCCCATTCTTGTCAGGGGATTTTGAAATCATGTGATAAACCAACAATTTCTCACTGTGATGACAGCAATGGAAACATATTGGATGCCAGGAATAACAATGATACAGTAATGAAACATATTTGAAAACAATACTGTTGTGCCATTATAAATTAAAATATATATATATGTATAATGGGACAACTAGACAGTGGTGATATACAATGAAATCTATATGAACTATAATGGGACAATAATGGTGATACCGTAAAAAAAAAAAACTAATTGTTAAATACTATTTTGGCCATCAACGATAGATATGGAGAGTGGTCTTCCCTATCAAAAATGCTGGTTTCCATAGCTAATATGTTCATGGCTTTTCCGACTCATGCAAAAACAAAAATGTAAACGAGATCATAATATATTGCAATATTATCAAATATTACCCAGTTTATATTGGAAACCACAATTTTCTCGTTGGTCAGAAATGGGGGTGTCACGAATTCGAAAACTTGAAGGATCCTATCAATCTTTGCAGCTTGAACGTTTTCCCGTATAATTATGTATATTATATATATATGTCGTTACATATATGGACCTTCCAACTCGTAAAAAAATACCAGTCGTTTTGCACAATCAGGCGTTTCATCAAATTTGTGGTCGTATCGAGCGTTTCCCTAGAAAGTTAGGCGTGGTATGTCATGGCTGTGTTTCCCATTGGCATGGCCCTCCTCCCAGTCTTCTCACCAGTATCTTGCTTTCAAAATATGGAGCCGCACATCCAAATTGGTTTCTGTTTACTTGCAAGCTCCCAAAATTATACAAATTTACCAGATTCTTGGATTTGCGGGCGTTTTGCGGATTTTTGCGGGCGTTTTGCATGTCATTTTGGGCAAAAATATGCGTTGGTGCTCGGGATGAGAATGGCCTGGTATGTACCTGGGATGCAGCCAGGATGCAGCCAGTAGAATTCGACGGGATTCTGAAAACTGGGTCATTTTAGGTCATACTCCAAAACTACCAAAAATCATCGACCGAAGGAATGTTCAGTATCTATATAGGTTAAGTAAAACCTCCCAAAAATAGGCAAATCCACTTTCTTATGATTTTCATATCTCATGATGTTCCCTCAGTAGATTCCCCGAGAGGAAAAAAAACCGAAACGAATCGACCGATTTAGCATCTCCTCAAAGACCTGGATGAGATCTTCCACCGAGAATTCTTGCATTTGACCTCGACACCACAAGAGGAAAAATTAAAATCGAGTGGGATATAGGACACGTGGATGACAAGATATATGACAATGTGTTGAATTTTATGTTAATTTTCCATGTATTTCTTGATGTTGGCCATCATTTTGGGAATTCAAGCATCACTCAATGCTGTTAATCTAGTCATATGGGGGATTTATATAAAGCATCAAAATGCATCAAACATAAAAATCAATCAAGCTCCACGACGTAAAACCAGTGATTGAGTTCGTCTGCCCTTTTAGCCAATTTCGCATACCACATGCATTTGTTTAAAAACTGCTGGTTGGTATATTATGTATATCATTCCCTAAGGATCCATGTATGGAATATTTACCTACATTGGGATTATTTTAAATTACTTTAGGGGTCAATGTAGGTAAATATTCCATACATGGATCCTCTGGGATTGTATATCCACAATATATCTCGTTCGGGGCAAACAACAACTTGGTCAGGCAGAATGAACTACACAACCAATGCTTGCCATGGATTTTTCACAAGGCACAAAAGGTAAGGGTTTCCCTTTTCCCAACCCCAAAGTGACTAGGAACCACAACACGGCGCCCATCATTCCTCAGTCTTCCCAGTGCTACCTAGGAACATTCATGGGACATATCTCTTTCATTTATCATTGTTTAATATGACCCAAAATAATAAGATTCTTCTCAATTCCCCACAAATCCCAATATAACCCAATACACAAACCAAAAAAACGATCCCAAAAAGTAATTCTCCCATGTCTCAAGGTGTTTTCCAGCTTAAACCCATCGAATTTCCATCGAGTTTCCCTTGGTTTCCACTTCAAATGCCCCATTCCCCTGGGACCCATGACCGCGTCCAAGCCACGGGCCGCCTTGACCTTGTTCCGCTTGATGCGATTCTGACCCTCCCGCAGGACCGAGATGAAGCAGCCCACCACCATCCTCAGTTCAGGGACATAAATAAACGTATCTACTCTATATAATATATATATATACACTTAGTACGGGGAAATCACATATTGGATACTAAGTTTAAACATACATATTTAAAACATCTAGTGAATTATATAACGTAATTATACACTTGGTGTATATTAAGTTAACATATCATTAGAGGTACACATAATGTTGGTAAAACAATTCCATAAACCATCCCCAATTTCACCATTTTTAAAGGTGGTATAAACAATTCCCAAATGGGTGGTTTATTATTGTTTTTTTGTTCCCCACATTTTAAAATCCTTATACATTCACACACTTCATTAGAGTTACATATTAAATATATTCTTACACATATTTCATGCCTGTATGTGTATAATTGTGCACATATATACATAGTGAATAATGTCTATACGTATCTAACCGTATCTACATGTGACAAAATTTTGGAAATATATGTTGTAATATGCGTGGTGATATGTGTATATGTACATACGTTAAGAAACTAAATAGCCAAGGCAAAATGCTGAGAACTTGCGTGTGAAACTTGACCACCTGGCAGCCGGTGGATCAGCGGAACTTCAGCCATAGAGTTCGATAGTCTTTACATTAATGATAAACAAAAACATACACATGTGCATACATACATGCACATGTATCTAGTTATTATATAGATATTTAATGTACACATACATCTACATATGAAAGTATCTAGAGTTCCATAGTTTGGAGACCAATAATATTATCATGTCATGAACATATCAAATATATACATATTCATCTACATAATGTAAAAACATCTTAGTTTGCTTATTTTAACAATCCTTTTCATGATTTGTTTCCGGCGCCAACGACGTCGCCAACCTTCAGCGTAAGCAGCGGCCAGACCCACAGCACGCAGAGGGCGGAGTAAAGCACGAGACAAACCGCCGCCGCCTTCGTTCCAAAAAGAGATGAAATTCACCATGACAACACAACATGCGAAAACACACCATATTTTATTGGAATATAATGTGAAATAATTTATATATATATATATACAATATTTCTATTACATATATGGAAATATATTTGATATATGGGCCACGGTCAATATTTGGTATATAGCTCCAAGTCATCAATTTTTGAAAATGTATTATCGTTTTCAGGTTTTGGTATATAAACATATGTTACACTCCCGGGAACAAACGTGTCTCAGGCTACCGTTTCAGGTATCAACTAACATGTCCACTCTTTACCGGCGTTTTCCTGGGGAATGCATTGCAACTTTTTTTTTGCACATTGACCCAAAAACAGCTAACATGTCTCAGGTCCTGCAATTGGGGCCCTTGGATTTCGACCCTGATCTGGGATATGTTAGCTATTTTTGGGGGATAGATTCAGCCAATAACCACTCACATATCTCAAAACCACATCCTCTGAACAACACGGACACGTTAGGTGGACGTTTTCCACGGCCAGTAACCCTTAGTAAATGCAACTGGTTTCTGGAACACACCCCCAATCTTCATATATGACGCGCTCTTCCGAGGAGTTGGGACTCTTTTTTCTGCTCGTTTTGCTATCAATGCAGTCTGGAAATAAGGATTTGAAGTGCAGTGCGTGCTCTTTCGTACCAAACTGGGACATGTTAGCAAGTTGGAATTCAGAAAGAATGAACAACAAATGAGCAGCACCTGTGCCACTTCATCTCGGATGCTGGCCATGACTTTGCGGTTCAGGGAAAACAACAGTGTTTTGACAAAACTTGGGTCTTGTAAGTGCAGTCATTCCCCGAGCAGATTCCAATATCTCAAGCTACTGAATATTAGTCTTTTCAATGTGGAGTTCCAAAAACCAGTTGCATTTGGGGCCCTTGGATTTCGACCCTGATCTGGGATATGTTAGTGATTTTTGGGGGATAGATCAGCCAATAACCACTCACATATCTCAAAACCACATCCTCTGAACAACACGGACACGTTGGGTGGACGTTTTCCATGGCCAGTAACCCTTCGTAATTGCAGGAACTGAGACATGTTAGCTGTTTTTGGGTCAATGTGTAAAAAAAGTTGCAATGCATTCCCCATGAAAACGCCGGTATAGAGTGGACATGTTAGTTGATACCTGAAACGGTAGCCCGAGACACGTTTGTTCCCGGGAGTGCCCAATCTTCATATATGATGCGCTCTTCCAAGGATTTGGGACTCTTTTTTTTCTTCTCGTTTTGCTATCCATGCGGTCTGGAATTAAGGATTGGAAGTGCAGTGCGTGCTCTTTCGTACCAAATTGGGACATGTTAGCAAGTTGGAATTCAGAAACAATGAACAACAAATGAGCAGCACCTGTGCCACTTCATCTCGGATGCTGGCCATGACTTTGGGGTTCAGGGAAAACAACAGTGTTTTGACAAAAATTTGGTCTTGTAAGCTCAGTCCTTCCACAAAGAGATTCCAATATCTCAAGCTACTGAATATTGGTCTTTTCAATGTGGAGCCAGAGCGAAAACAAAAACACAGCTAACATGTTCATAAAACATACCCTAGAAGAAATTTCTCCATACGATGGTCAGATAGGTCAGTATGCGAGCTCCAAATTGTCCAGATCTAATGGTACAGTACCACACCCTTGAATGATCGAGCATGGAACGCGTGGCACCTCACGTGTTCAAACTGAAAACAAACAGCTTTGAAACAATCCTGAAGAGCAGAACGTTCGTCTTGGTAGCCACAGGCACGCAGGTGGCAAATGATGAATCCCGTCAGACCTTCCAAGGAAAAATTTGCAATGTATTTATTGGTTATGGATGTACAGTAACGGAACCGAAAGGAAATATGCTATGGTTCTGGACATGTTAGTTTTGTATGGCGTTGACCTTTTCAGTCTTCAGGGACCTTCATTTCTGCCTCCAATTTCTTCACATGCTGTTTTGCATGCACGTTGTTTGGATTCAGTGAAATGAAGTGCATCCACAAAGCCATCAATGCGATCAGCACGGCCTGCTTTTCAGACCGGAGTCCTACCTTCCAACTTGGAGCCCGGTTTCCACCAGGCCAAGCAGCATGCCACTGCTGGCTTTTGGAATGGTAATAAATACCGGATCCAGAAAGCTCTGGGAGTTATGTTAACCCCTTCTTTTCTAAACTCACAAACGCCGCTCTTTTCATGAAACTGGCCGGGGGCTTTTCAACCCTTTTCTTCTCACTTCCATCCGGAACAATCATGGAAATCAGGTTGTCGCGATCCAGGGTTACATCATGATTTCCCTCATCATCATCATCATCATCCCAAAAAACCAGAGCCATGGCCCCAGACGTTGAGTTGGACAAGATGATGGTCTCATCCATCAATGCCTCCGGTTCCTTCTCGCTGCCAGCCGCTCGTGCGGCTGCCGGGTCCGGCATTTGCGATGCCTGATGAGCCAGCTGCTGTCCTGCGCGTGCGAATCGGGACATGTTACCCTCCCCTCTGTTGATATATGGACGTGGAGGCCAAAAAAACGTACCACTAACATGGACGTGCACCTGGTAAAAACCATCAAAATTTAGTTAAAAATGGCCGGTTCCAGAAACCTGTCGTGCACCTTTCTTTCGCAGGACTGCCAAGGGATCGATTCATGGAGCCCCCTTGATTGTGCACCAAGATGCTTTACGAAGCATTTTATAATTAGAGAAAATTGGCTATAAAATGGTCCTCCGTCAGCCAAAATCCAGACAGCAAGTGGGAACCCTCTATGAAATGACCTCTCCGTCATCTCTATGAAATGCTTCTCCGCAGACGAGGCGTGTGCAAAGACACCAATGTTTATTCTAGTTTACAAACTATAAAAGTGACATTTCTCATTTTGCATCATTTCCTCGTTGTTGTTCTCCCGTTGTGTTGTTCCCCGTTGTGAATCCCCGAGGTCTTCGGCGCCGTCTCCCGGGAAAGTCTCTATAAAATGATAAAATAGGGAGCTCTGGAGGGGCATTTTACAGACGGCCAAGCCAGTCCTCTATAATTTTGGCTACTTGCTGCTATGATTATTATGATGTACTATTGAAGGTTTGGGAACCCTGCGCAAATGCTATGTTAGTAGTCCTGTTGCCAAAACTTTGGTTTTGGATTGGAAATCATGACTGGAACAACTGTTTTTGGATGTCTTTGTGACTCTTTGTGGGGCTCACCCTTACTGGACCCAAAAAAGCTTCAAAATCAACAATTTTATATAATCGATTGAATAAGGAAAAAAACTCCTGGTCGATGTTGCCAATCTGGCTACTTGCTGCCATGATGATGATGATGATGTACTATTGGAGGTTTGGGAACCCTGCGCAAATGCTATGTTAGTAGTCGCCTTGGTCTCACAACGTTTCCGCCAACGCGCGCGTTGCGTCCCCAGTGTCCCTTCCCAGCTCCCCGAGCCCAAGCTCTGTAGCCAGTGTTGTGTCTTCCCCGTTTTGGGGTCGAAGTCCTCGGGCCTGGCCGAGTCGTTTTCCGCTAACGCGCGCGCGCGCGCGTTGGCGGAAACGTTGTGAGACCAAGGCGACTACTAACATAGCATTTGCGCAGGGTTCCCAAACCTCCAATAGTACATCATCATCATCATCATGGCAGCAAGTAGCCAGATTGGCAACATCGACCAGGAGTTTTTTTCCCTTATTCAATCGATTATATAAAATTGTTGATTTTGAAGCTTTTTTGGGTCCAGTAAGGGTGAGCCCCAAGAAGACATCCAAAAACAGTTGTGGTTTGATCTGGTCGCCTGGAGACTCAAAAGAGACAACCTAACATAGCAACCAGGGGTACTTTCATTCTGGATTGATTGATTGATGTGTTCGGTTTCCTGTTTTCTAAAACATGTTTTCCGTGGAGTTTGATGCTAACATAGCCATTTGGTGGTTCCAAGCTGTGACAAGTCTCCAGACAGCTATGTTAGCTTATTCTGGTACATTTCTTTTACCCACTTCCTGGGGAATGCCAAACATTGGGAGGACGGAAACAGAGGCTATGTTAGCAGGTGTTGGCAGAAATCACCCAAATGATCACGAGCCCACCGGTGTAGATTTTATTTCAGCGTCTCGTAGATTTTATGCCGCTTGAGCCTGTTTCAATATATTCCCCAAACCAATCTCTCACCATCGGGGGGTCAGGGGGTTGATGGTGAGAGTTTGTTTTCAACAATATATGGTATATCAACAATATATCAACCAGCGTTTGTTGTCCCGTGTTTGGGGGAGGGTTGTTTGGGCAAATTTACGGGCGATGTCCCCAGCCATTATAGTGCCCGTAAATTATACCCTTAGGTCTATCCCCCTAGTATACCACCAAAGGGAGGTGTGCTTTATAGTTGCTAGGCACTGAGCGGCTCGCTCCCTCCCAATGGTGGTTTTAATATACCCCTAAATTATTAAAGTTTATAGTTAGTCCCCGCCACACAGTTTCGGTTCCAAGCCTGGCCGTTCGAACGCAAATCCAGCGTGCATTTTATAAAGGATCATTCAAGGGGGCTATTCATGGTTGTTGCTAACACCACTGCAGCTCACCAAAATGAAAACTTACTATGAAGCCAAAAATCTTACTATGAATGTCCATGTTAGCTGAATACTGTTCAAAAAAACCTGTTTGAGTGTCCATGTTAGTGGACCTGTGACATGTGTCACGCTATATAACATGGACGCTTCCAAAGTACGTGCATACATTTTCTCAATTTTCAGCGTCCAAGTCAGGAAACTGGAGAGTAGTTATGTTGAAAACTTGCATTGAAAAGGCATTCTCAAGATGATGTTTCTTCAATATTTTGGACTTGGGTTCAAAAATGACATTGAATGCAATCGGACAATCTTAAATTGTGCGCTTCCTCAAGACTGCTACACTAACATGTCCCGCAACGTGAGCGTACATGACTTGGGTCCTTCCAGGCCATGTTGGTCCCCAATTTCTGTTGCAGACGATTCTCCATCTGAGTCTGAATACCCTTCAACTTGTACTTCCTCATCTTCTTCCAAGTTGGCACCCATCATGTGCTCATACCCAACCAGGAGGGTTGAAAGCTTGCTGCGTTCCCCCCCATTTCTAAGATCCCAGCACCGAACCTGTCTCTTTGTAGAAGCTTGACTCAGCTTCAGGGACAGGTTAGCCGCAACCCCCTCAGCGGTGAAGAAGAAGGTCATGACCCATGGAGATGTTTTTGACCCATGTTTGTTTTTCCACTGGGGGGTACCATCAGCCTTGCGGGTCATATTTCTGGACACCCAGTCCTGGGTGGCCAGGTGTCCAGTCCTGGCGTTCATGACAATGAAACGCTGAGTGCCCTTCAGCTCCGAAATCGTAGATTTTGCTTTCCTGGTGGCTGGGTTTTCCTCGCTTGGGTCAGATTGAACCAGTTGGGCATAGGACTCCTTCGCCACCTGAAGCTGATGCAAGTGCAGCGCAAGAGTTCTGACATAGGCTGATGCAATTTCGTATGGCAAAGCTTGCCACCCAGAATTGGCATCCTGCACGGGTGCGGACATGTTAACATCAGGTGCGGGTACCAACAGTAACGCTGAAACCCGGTACATTAAAATTACTATAGTAATATTAGCAATGGGCAATGGGAGTGGGAATTCCAAAGTCAATTCCATTAATATGAAACTGGGACAGGTTAGTCATATCACCATTGCACAGATACGCAGGGCCAAAGAATCATAATGGCAGTCATGAACAACCATACCGAAACTGAAAGTAACCATTGATCCTGTGAGCCATGATGACTGTATCCCTGGAATCCGCCATTCACTCAGATGCAAAAGGTATAGCTAACATGTTCACAACATTGTTCCATGAGCAGTCCTGAATTTGCCATTCATAGGACATGCAACGCTGTGGTGTCCAGTTTTTTCCGAGGCAACTGAACATATCACTCAAAGAGGCTCTTGCCTCTTCCACGATTCTCCGGGGATCGCCTGGACCATGGAGATTCATTTGTGCCACATCCACATACCCGCAGCTGAGCCATGCCGCCGAGAAAGTGCTTTGCTCCATGCTGCCCCATGCTTCCAGGGTCAATTCTAAGATTTGCTCATGGCTTTTGACTTCATAGGCCACTTGCCCTGATGCCCTTAAGGACAACTCCTCGAATCCTGAGCTGGTTGAAACAGTTGAACAACTACACTGTTGGATCGTTTGGCACTGGCTGCCACAAAAACAACTAACATGTCAAAACTTGTGCCACTTCTTGATGATTTGCCTTTTGGGTTGTACCACAACAAAAGTTAACATGTTACCATATGTGCGAGCTAGATTCGGGGTCGGTTCCTCAGGTCCCCACAGAACCCCAAAGAGCTAACATCCAACGCTCGCAACTTGTTGCGCAGTTGCGCATGTACTTGGTCGCACGGCTGGCCGTGACTGCTCCACCCACCCGGCGGCTTGAAGGGTTTCTCCAAGTTGTGTGTCTCGTAAAAACGATCCCGACGGATATCTTCCCCGTGGTTTTTGGAGAAGAAACCTGACCATGCATCCATCAGGAAATGCCCGCGAGCTTCCGGAGCTGAGTGATCGTGCAAGTTGTACCTGGCAGCCAGGCGTTGGAAAGCATGGCTAACATGTTCATAAATACCGTGTGATCCACTGGCCCAATAAGTATGTATGCCGGACCGGTGGGTAAACACCACGCGGTTCATGGGATCAACTTGGAACATAGAAACATTGACCACATGACCCGCATGATGGTTCAATGGAAAGTTTTAAGGGTTTTCAAAGTTCAGTGTTATCTCAACATGTTTGGAAAACTAACAAGTTTAGACTTTGCTGGCCTGTCTCTCTGAAGGGAAAGAGCCGGGGAGTACAACTGTTCAAAAATATGCAGCACAACATCTGCCGTGGTGAAATGTGTTGACGAACCGCTGCTCACAACCAGGGCTCGACCCACATGCCGGTCGTTGAAGGCCACCATGCTTTCCTGCGACATCCTTGATTCCGGAATGCAAAATGCAAGGGGTCCTCGGGTCCCGTCGCTCCAAATTGAGGTCATCACCTCGGAACCGGGCAAAAGGGATATGTTAGTAAGTATAACGTTGATGTCAAAGATTTCTGTTGATGCAAATACATGCATATGTACAGTACACTTTCACGCATCATACACAGTATATAGTTGTATGTGTAAATGTAGAGTACATGTACGGTAGAAGGGTCAAGGGTAGGTGTATGGTAGAAGGGTCAAAGGGTAGCTAGACAGTCAAGCAGTCAGACCCTTCGATGGTAAACCCAGATTTAAAAACCTCCAGGCAGCACAGTATCACTTACTTCAAAAACCTATGCCACACAAAGGACATGTTAGCCACCACAACACTGCACTGCACTGGAAGAAACAAAATTTGATGAAATGTATCTGAAAGTCGGTTATTCCTCGGCGCCCTCCCTTTACTGCATGCAGCTTCTTGTCGGCCCTCTTGTGAACTTTTCTCTTCCGGCATCTCAAGCCTGTCTTCGATCTGTCTTTCATCAAAAGGGTGCCTCCAAATTGGTAGCATGACCGCCAAACCTGATCGAAGTTGAGAGTCAGTGCAGGATGGATTGTTCCGTCGTCGATCAGTTTCCGCAGCCGTTCGCGGGAAGCGATCATGTCAGGATGACCCCACGGAAGCCACGACTGGGTATCCGATGATCGGCTCAAAAAAGCCCATCCCCATTCTCTGAGGAACCATCTGGCCCATCTTGAGTTTGGCAGGGGGGTTTCTGCTGGAACAGGCATCCAAGCTGCGATCACACTCTCAGCCGACAAAGACCCCGCATTCATGTCATCCAAGAGCTTTTGATTGGCTTCCTTCACTTTATCGGCCATGTTAGCCACATTCTTGTTCCAGTCTCGCACCAAACCCTGAATGGTCATTACCTCATCAGCATCGGGTTGGAGGTGAAAGTCAAAGTTCGAATCGGCAAACAAGAGTAAAACTGTAAAACCCATTGGGCCTAACAATCATGAATGGCTGACAGGTCGAAATTGGATATGTTAGGGGAGAAACATAGAAAATGCTTACAGGTAGCTGAAAGTCACACTTCCAACCGTCAAACAAGAGTAAAACCCATTGGGGCTCCCATTGGACCTATCAATCATGAACGGCTGACAGGTCGAAATGGGATATTTCAGGGTAGAAAAAAGAGAAATTGCTTCCAGCTAGCTGGAAGTCACACTTCAAACCGTCAAACAAGAGTAAAACCCATTGGGCCTAACAATCATGAATGGCTGACAGGTCGAAATGGGATACGTTAGGGTAGAAAATCGGAAATTGCCTCCAGGCTACCACCTGCTCTGTGGAAACCACTTCCTTTCTCTCTGAGATGTCAGATTGGCCGCTGGTCATTTCCATGATAAGGACATCCAATTCCCTCTGTAGAGACAGCGGGACGTTTCCCCCCTCCTTCCTCCCCTTCAGATCGCAGCCGACCTTAGATCGCCACACGTTAGTTGTCGCTGATGCTCGGGAAGTGAAGGCTTCTGGAAGGTCTGCCCAGTGTTCCCTGGCAGCGGCTTTTGCCCATCTGTGGACTCTGCAGGTGCCCACGATTTGGGGGAACTCCTTCTTACACTCAACTTCGACCCTTTTCTTCAAGACCTTTTTGGCTTCCTTTCTTGCTTTTTTTGCTTTTCTTCTCTCTGCAGCAGCTTGGCCTACATTGTCTGGCTCACAAGCAACCTGATTGGCGGCTTGCTTTTCAGCAAGAAGTTTTTTTCTGAATTCAAGAACCATGAGTTTGTCCTTGATGCTGATGGTACGGCGTTGCGTCCTGAGAGGCGCTTCCCAAACACCGTCATCCTTGGTAGGTCGTTTGCGTTTCCTCCCATTCTCAATGTCCTTGGCCTTTTTGTTTGACTTGAGCTGGAACTTTGCATGCCAAGCCTGTCGTCTCCTCTTCCTGAGCAGAACATGTTACAGTAGGAGGAGGCATGAAACCGTGCAAAAAGGGACAGGTTAGCGTATCATGGCTGAATTTTGATCCGAAGTTCTTTGCATTCGATTGACGTTTTTCCCGTAGCTGATCATCGACTAACACGCTCAACCTTTTCTCTGCCTTTTTCTTGAGGGTATCCTCAGCTGCTTGGCAGCGCTGCTCCTTCACCTTCGTGTTGCTAAGAAGTTTCGATTCTCCGTTGAAAGCCTCCGTCATGCAAGTGACATGTTTCCCCAAGGCCAACAGCATCTTTCCCTTGGGCATCTGTGTCTCATCCACGTTGAAATGGACGGGTGTAGAATCCAATTCGCACCCAGCTAACATGGCAAAAAACTGGCTCCAAGTTTGTCCTGCTGGTTTGCATGCATCCTTCTCCGTGATATCGTTCCAAATCTTCTGCCAATGCTCATTTAGTGCACTAGACTTCTGCACTCTTTCTTCCAGAAACTGCGTCCTCTCACTCAACTCCTCCAATCTCCTCGTCCTCTTGGCCTGTCGCTCCGCGACCTTTTCCTGAGCCGCCGTAGAAGAGGACCTGCGCACGATGAGGGCACCTAACGTGTTCTAATACCCTGGAGTTTTTGGGAAGCTTAAGTCTCAAACCCACACACTTACTAAAAACAAAATGCCAACATGTTATGGCAACCGCTTTTCAATCAGCCCTGGCCTCGCCGCTGCAATTTGATGTTCAGCTAGTTCATTTTGAATCTCACAGATGGCTTCCTTCGAAAGTGATTGTCTAACATCGTCCAGATTACGAAGACCTCCTTCGAGTGCACCCAATTTCCCCGAGGAAAAAATTTCAGCCTTTCCTTCCTCCACCAAAGTCTGGTTCACGTCATATCTTTGGATCTGCACATGTTCGTAGTCATTCTCTGAACTACCCAGCACCCCATCTGATGGCAGCACAAATGCCCAAACATCAGCAGTCGGAGCGATCTGCAGTGGGATTTCCTCCAAAACCTTGGTACGGGGGCTTCAGAAACCGGAAACTAGAGATGAACGTATGGGGACAGGTTAGTGTCTTCTAAATGTGAAAGTCTTCCCACAAGTTGGAACTAACATATCTCCAAACACAAGTGAAGCCTGAAGCCAAGAAGCGGCCTCAATGTTTTCAGGAAAGTTGCTGAAGACCATGACTCCCCCTATTTTCCGGTGATGCAAATGCTTCACGGCAGATTTCCAGAAAGCATGTTTGTCGTTGAAGAAATCACCAATCACCATTCCCTTCAACATATTCCTTTCAACCCGGTGCTGTTTGATTCCGCCCATGCCCAGAACCGCGATCTTGGACATGTGGTCTTCGTCACCGGAAGCTAAGCACATAGCCATTTTCTTCAAAGCAATACCGGGGACAACAAGGTTGCAGGAGAGAAATCTGTCCTTCGTTGGCATGGCTGGTTCCTTTACATCGACATCCATTGGCAGAGTAGAGAAGTATTGGGTCAATGATCGTTCCTCATCGTTGGACATGTTAGCATCACCCGTCACCCCCTTAGAGGAAGAAGATGATGAGGCTTGATGTCCGAGATCGCCACCTTCCTGCTTCGAGCCAGCTGCAGCACAGGGCTGCGGCTCCGACCCGGCCGGCTCTTTTGGAGGAACTGGATCTTTTGGATCCGTTTTTTGGATTAGTTTCTCGATGATGGAGCGATGCTTCCGATCACCTGACTGAGCTGCATTGGGCCCTTCGGATTTTTGGAGACCAAAGTTTAGTGTTTACATCATCACTTGATGCAGTAACTGCCAAATGTTCAATCTTTTGACGGCTGTTTCCCGTTTTTACTCTTGTAGTGTTGGGACATCGCAGGACATCTTGGGACATGTTAGTGTGGGTTAACTGAGGGAAGCACAACAATCAGAGACAATCATGTTCGCGATGTCAACCTTGTGGGCGCCTTTCTTGGGAACCAACCACGGAACTTACATTCCTTCCGTAGATCCTGAACCTTCATGGCCGAGAATTTCAGTCCGCAATCCTCCAGCTCCTTGACAATGGTGAGAAGAGCTGAGGAATATGCTTCGAAATCCTTGCCGAAAACCTGAGACTGGGGGACGCGACCCCCCTGGCTAAACACGGCTAACATGGCCACATTGCGAACCAGGTATGATGGCCTGATGGCCTGATTTTTTTTTTACCCATTCAACCCAAACCTTTTTTCAATCAAAGTCCAAGGAACAGAATCCAGAAATTCAAAATTCTTGTGCCCTGTCACTGCGAGGACAACGAAACCAGTGCCCTTGTCGTTTCGCTCGATGATGCCAGTGTCTTTCAGTTTCTTTAGCATTTTCGCCGGCATTGGAATCTGACTCGCCCAATCAATTGAGCATGTGGGGGTGGAGTTGTTGGACTCCTGGAAAAGCTGGAATGGTACAGTATCCATGTTTGATAACAGCTCAATTATCAAAGGAATTTTACATGCTAAGCCATACAAAGGCGAAAATGGTACATGTTAGGCTCTCACGCAACACATGTCTCCTTGGGATTGGATGGTTTGACCACGTTGCCTGGCTCCAGCAATGGTTCACCAGGCACTTCGGCCATCATCTCGTTCATCTTTTCCATCAAGTTGTCCTATAGAATGCGGTCATCTATCTTTGTGGACCACAAGGAAAAGATCCATAGAGCTAACATATCCCACTTGGTTTGTCTGTGGGCGGTTTTGATTCAAAAAGGTCATAAATTGAATCAATTGGATCCTTGAAAAAATACCCAGCCAGTTGGGTGCACCCTCATCACCCCGCAGTTTTCACCCAACAAAACCCGTCCTCTTGGGCTGCTTCCACAGCAGCCTTGGCTTGAGTCAGCTTTGCAACATCCTGGAACAGCGGCAATAACAGGTCGAGTTCGGAATTACAAGGGGTTGTGGACATGTTAGTTGATATCTTGTGAGTATCATCCCAAATTTTGATTTTTTTGACAGGAAGGCTCACTTCAAAAGATCCAAAACATTGACCATCTCAAACGCATCATTTTCAATAGGACGGCCCATTAAAAAAATCAACTTTTTTGGTCTTGGAAAGGGTCCCCCCCATTTGATGGATGGGAAGTTAACATTCTCTACATGAAAAGGGCCCACAGGGCTTCCATTTGGAGGACCACCCTGAAAGGACAAGGAAAAGATCCATAGAGCTAACATATCCCACTTGGTTTGTCTGTGGTCGATTTTGATTTGAAAAGGCCACAAATTGAATCAATTGGACCCTTGAAAAAAATAACCGGCCAGTTGGGTGCACCCTCATCACCCCGCAGTTTTCACCCAACAAAACCAGTCCTCTTGGGCTGCTTCCACAGCAGCCTTGGCTTGAGTCAGCTTTGCACCATCCTGGAAGAGCGGCAGTGGCAGGTCGAGTTCGGAATGAAAAAGGGGGTGTGGACATGTTAGTTGATATCTTGCAAGTATCATCTCAAAATTCAAAAGAATGTTGACATGAAGTTTCACTTCAAAAGATCCAAAACATTGACCATCTCAAACGCATCATTTTCAATAGGACGGCCCATTAAAAAAATCAACTTTTTTGGTCTTGGAAAGGGTCCCCCCCATTTGATGGATGGGAAGTTAACATTCTCTACATGAAAAGGGCCCACAGGGCTTCCATTTGGAGGACCACCCTGAAAGGACCACAAGGAAATGATCCATAGAGCTAACATATCCCACTTGGTTTGTCTGTGGGCGGTTTTGATTCAAAAAGGTCACAAATTGAATCAATTGGAACCTCTAAAAAATACCCGGCCAGTTGGGTGCACCCTAATGTCACCCCGCAGTTTTCACCCAACAAAACCCGTCCTCTTGGGCTGCTTCCACAGCAGCCTTGGCTTGAGTCCGCTTTGCACCATCCTGGAAGAGCGGCAGTGGCAGGTCGAGTTCAGAATTTCAAAGGGGGTGTGGACATGTTAGTTGATATCTTGCAAGTATCATCCCAAAATTAGAAATATTTTTGACAGGAAGACTCACTTCAAAAGATCCAAAGCATTGACCATCTCAAACGCATCATTTTCAATAGGACGGCCCATTTAAAAAATCAACTTTTTGGGTCTTGGAAAGGGTCCCCCCCATTTGATGGATGGGAAGTGAACATTCTCTACATAAAAAGGACATACAGGATTTCCATTTGACCACCCGGAAAGGACCAATGGCACTTGGTTTGTTGAGGGTGGTATTGATTTCAAAAAGCCATAAACTGAATCCAAACATCACCAGTTGATCCCGCAGCTTCCCATTAACAAGACTAGTCCTTTGGGGCTGCTTCCACAGCAGCATCGGCTTGAGTCATCTTTGAATCATCCTGGAAGAGCAGCTTAGTGAGCTCAGAATTATATATATATATGACCGTGGACAGTGGACATGTTAGTTGATATCTTGTGAGTATCATCCCAAAATTAGAAATATTTTTGACAGGAAGACTCACTTCAAAAAATCCAAAACATTGACCATCTCAAACGCATCATTTTCAATAGGACGGCCCATTTAAAAAATCAACTTTTTTGGTCTTGGAAAGGGTCCCCCCCATTTGATGGATGGGAAGTGAACATTCTCCACATAAAAAGGACATACAGGATTTCCATTTGACCACCCGGAAAGGACCAATGGCTAACATATCCCACTTGGTTTGTTGAGGGTGGTATTGATTTCAAAAAGCCATAAACTGAATCCAAACATCACCAGTTGATCCCGCAGCTTCCCATTAACAAGACTAGTCCTTTGGGGCTGCTTCCACAGCAGCATCGGCTTGAGTCATCTTTGAATCATCCTGGAAGAGCAGCTTAGTGAGCTCAGAATTATATATATGACCGTGGACAGTGGACGTGTTAGTTGATATCTTGTGAGTATCATCCCAAAATTAGAAATATTTTTGACAGGAAGACTCACTTCAAAAGATCCAAAACATTGACCATCTCAAACGAATCATTTTCAATAGGACGGCCCATTTAAAAAATCAACTTTTTTGGTCTTGGAAAGGGTACCCCCCATGTGATGGATGGGAAGTGAACATTCTCTACATAAAAAGGACATACAGGATTTCCATTTGACCACCCGGAAAGGACCAATGGCTAACATATCCCACTTGGTTTGTTGAGGGTGGTATTGATTTCAAAAAGCCATAAACTGAATCCAAACATCACCAATTGATCCCGCAGCTTCCCATTAACAAGACTAGTCCTTTGGGGCTGCTTCCACAGCAGCATCGGCTTGAGTCATCTTTGAATCATCCTGGAAGAGCAGCTTAGTGAGCTCAGAATTATATATATGACCGTGGACAGTGGACATGTTAGTTGATATCTTGTGAGTATCATCCCAAAATTAGAAATATTTTTGACAGGAAGACTCACTTCAAAAGATCCAAAACATTGACCATCTCAAACGAATCATTTTCAATAGGACGGCCCATTTAAAAAATCAACTTTTTTGGTCTTGGAAAGGGTACCCCCCATGTGATGGATGGGAAGTGAACATTCTCTACATAAAAAGGACATACAGGATTTCCATTTGACCACCCGGAAAGGACCAATGGCTAACATATCCCACTTGGTTTGTTGAGGGTGGTATTGATTTCAAAAAGCCATAAACTGAATCCAAACATCACCAGTTGATCGCGCAGCTTCCCCCTAAAAAGACCAGTCCTTTGGGGCTGATTCCACGGCAGCATCGGCTTGAGTCAGCTTTGGATCGTCCTGGAAGAGCAGCTTAGTGAGCTGAGAACCACCCAAGAACAAACCAAATGGGATCGTTAACCCATCGGGTTCGTCCAAACAAAAGCCCGGTGGATCCATGGAATCATGATGAAAGAACATGTTGCTGGCTGCCAACAAAGTGGGTATCCTTTTCCAAACCCCAAAAAGTGCAATTTATATATGAAACTTCATATTGAAAATGACGCGTTTGAGATTCTCAATAATTTTGCTTTTTGAAGGCGAGATTCTAGTCAACTGTCTCTTCTTCTTTAGCATCATATAAACCACTAACATGTCCATCTTCTTGGTTCTCATTGCCAGATTCAAAAATGGATGATTCGGTCTCAAAAAACAAGGACCCAATTGCCATTTGGTGAGTACTTGTACCTCTGAGCTACCCAATTCTCCTTTGGAGCTGCTTCCTCAGCAGCAGCTTGGTCCTGGCAGATGATTTTCTTCATTTTCAATATGACTTTTCTTGGTTTGGAAAAGGAATACCAACGTTGTGGGCAGCCATCAACACTATCCCGCTTAATCATGCGTTACATTGATCGTTGTCAACCCATGTTGTTTTTTCTGGGCTGAACGCGCTCAGCTAACATATCCTAAATAGTTCATTTGCGGTTTGTGGTTTTCATTCAAATACAAATAACTGATTGGATCATCCCATATTATCCCATTTACAACATTCTTGACACCATGGAACCATTGGCTGTAGTTACTGTAGGTCCCCATGAAAATCAACCAATAACGTGGGCATTCTCAGTCCTTCTTCCATGGCAACTTACGCCTCTTTGGCGCTGGAACGGGCTCCTGGCAGGGAGGGTCAAAAAGATTGAACCACTTTATCCCAGCAATGTTGACGACTTCACAGGTACAACCCTTTGTTCCTTGTTTGTCGCTAACATATGCCAAATCCAAGTCCAAGTTTGTTTTACTCACAAAGGTTTCTCACCCTGTCTTCGCCAATTCGGTGTTTTTTTACACGCAAGA